AGCAAATTAAGTTTATTTAAGGATTTCTAAAACAAACTTTCACAAAACACTCTCAGGTCTTGTTATCACATTATTAGATTTGAGTAAGTCTTTCAGTATGTTAATGAATTACAGACCAGTAAATGAAGTTTTAGAGCATTGTGGCCTAGATTTCAGTTCAAGTATGTACATCTCAGATTCTTCTCCTGTCATAGACACCAGAGACTTTGCAGAATTTGCAGTGACCTGGAGTATTTAAGTTAATGCTTTCTTCCTGTTGTGATTCTCACCTAGAGTTATAGGAATTATATGATTTTTAGCACTTTAGCAAAAAACCCTTATATACATCTCATCTGAATGAATGTCTCTTTAGGAAAATGGACTCTTTTTTTGGGGGAAAAATAAAAAGCTGCTACAGAAAGTTGGGGCTTACTGTTCTTTGCATTGACCTTTATTTACTGCCAAAAGCTGCAATTCAGGAAACCATTCAGGTTTTTATATTTTAGGAGAAATTTAAGTAAGTAAATAAAACTTTTTACCTACCAAAAAAAAAAAAGAATCAGGGAACAAGAGAACTTAATCTAACCAACAGAAAGAATATACACTGGAAAAAATGAGTCTCAAGGATCTGTGGGAAAATAAAATATCTAACATTCAAGCAATTGAAGTCTCAAAAGAAGAAGAGAAAAAAAGGTGAAGCTGAAAACCAGCTGAAGAAATAATGGTTGAAAATTTCACAAACTTGGCAGAAGATATAAACTTAGATTATACAATCTAACTTAGAATCAAATTTCAAACAGGATAAATCCAAAGAAATCTGTACCCAGGTGTGCAGCTGTAAAGTTTTCTTTGGAAAACTAAAGATGAAGAAAAATCTTAAAGGCAACTGGAAAAGAAATGACTAATTACCTACAGGAGAGCAACCATTTGAATGAGAACAGATTTCTCTCATTAGAAACCATGGAGGCAAGAAGGAACTAGCACATTTTTCAAGTGCTGAAAAAAGTTTTGTCAAACCAGAATTCTATATCATGTGAAAATATCCTTCGGACAAAACCAAGACATTCTCGAATGAATGAAAACTAGAATTTATCACTAGCAGATTTCCCCTAAAAGAATAGCTAAATGGAGTTCTTCATAGAGAAAGGAAACAAAAGGAATAAGTTGGAATATCAGGAATAAAGAAAGAACAAGAGAATAAAAATATGGGTAAATAAAATAGACTACTCCTTTCCTCTTGAATTTTATAATAATATTTTATGGTTGAAGCAAATATTCTATTGTTGTCTAATGTAGTTCTCAATGTATGTCGAGAAAATATTTAAATAATTGTATGATAAAAGTGGGGGGTGGATAAACAAACCTAAATGGTGGTAGACTTCCTTTACTTCACTCAAAATAGTATATATAAAATGTAGAGAACAGGAGACTGATAAGTCATTTTGGAAGATGGTCCTCTCTTTAAAAGGTTGCTTCTCAAGAGCAACCACTAAAAATCTACACAAAGATATATGTGTCTCTAAATCTTAAAGCCACCACAGAAAAAATCAATATGGGGGAAATTCCCTGGTGGTCCAGTGGTTGGGACTCTTTGCTTTCACTGAGAGCTCAGGTTCAATCCCTGGTCGGGGAACTAAGATCCTGTAAGCTGCATGCCACAGTCAAAAAAAGAAAAAAAATCAACATGGAATTTTAAAAAATATTCAAGTAATCCACAAGACAGAAAATAAAAGAGGAAAAAAAAACCCAGAGAAAATAAATAGAAGAACAGTAAAATGGCAGACTTAAACCAAATCATAACAAAAATTACATCAAATATAAGTGTTTTAAATATGCCAATAAAGAGAGAGATTTAAAGAGTAGAGTAAAAAATGACTCAACTATATAAGAAACTCATTTCAAATAAAAATCATATGTGCAAATTAAAAGTAAAAGGATGGAAAAATATACCATATACCATGTAAATATGAATCAAAAGAAAGCCAGAAACAGTATTAGATAGTACAGACTTCAGGAAAAATAAAATTACCAAGACAAAGAGTGACATTACATGATGATAAATTCACCAAAAAGGTACAGTAATCCTAAATATGTATGCAGTTAACAATAGAACTTAAAAATACACAAAGCAAATCTGAAAGAAATGAAGAGAGAAAGAGGCAAACCCACAATTACAGCTGGAGACTGCTACAGCCCTCTCTAAACAACTGATACTACTACTAGGCAGAAAATCAGCCAGGATACAGAAGAGTACCATCAATCAATAGGACCCAACAGTAGCATAATACATATTGTTTTCAAGTGTCCCTGAAATATTCACCAAGATAAACCATATCTTGTGCCAGAAAACAAACCTTGACACCTGTAAAAGAACTAAAACCATACAGATTATGTTCTGTGACAAAAGTGAACTCAAACTAGAAATCAGTAACAGAAAGATAGTAAGAAAAGTCTCCAAATGCTCGAAAACTAAACACTTTTCTAAATAATACACATATCAAAGAGGAAGTTTCAAGGAAAATAAAAATACTGAAATGGATGAAAACGAAAATAAACATACCAAAATTAATGGGGTGAAGCTAAGCAGTATTTAAAGGGAAATTTACAGCACTAAAATTCTTATATTAGAAAAAAGGAAACCTTTCAAAGCCTAAGCATTACCCTCAAGAGTCTAGAAAAAAGTACAAAATAAAACTAAAGCAAAAAGGAAGAAAATAAAAAATAAGAGCAGAAATCAATAGAAATTGAAAAGAGAAAAATAAGAGATAATTTCACTGATTACAGACTAACTTTAGCAACACGATATATTATGTAGTATTAGATTATAATCCAAAGTATAAAATAAATACACATGAGTTCATACAGATAAAATTAGTTATTAAATAAAATTTTTAAATGATGGAAGCATCTAAGAATATTTTTATAATTGCTTACTTTTGGGAAATAATCAGATGATCTAATATAAAGCTCTAGTACATAAAATTTCAATAAATGGAACCTATGAGAGGTAGATGTGATAGTATCCATGTTATAACAACAAAACAAATTACCTCAGAGAGATGAAATAAACCAGCAAAACATGGAATCAATCTCTTCTAATGCCAAGGCTGGTTTTGCTATACAATATCAGGTTCTTTCTTTTGTAACAGAATGGGGCATATAAATGAAAAAAATCTGCTTCCAGTAGCCCAGGTCTTCTATTTTTTGCAAAAGAATGATATTCTAACTTGGAGGCAGCAGGCCTTGCGACCCAAAGCTCTTGAGTCACTTTATGTTCTAGGACTGGTTGTCCTAAATGGGAAAGTAGCAAGGTTTCTTTCTCATCAATTCTGCAGTCAAAGCCTCCTCTGGATAGATGGGAAATTTGTTTTGCTCCTGTTTATGTGTATTTTATTTCCTAAGTTTTTCTGTATGACACAGACACATACAAATACACACTGATAGTCTACTGTGCCCAGAAAGATCCCTGGCAAAAGACAGAAAAGGGACCTCTGAGAAAGGGAGATATCCTCTGACACCCGAAAGCAATGCCTCCCCCCACCATACCTGCATGAGGTCAAATGGAACCTGGCCTTGTTTCTAGTCAATAGAAAATGGCAAACATGATGGGACATCATTCTCATGATTATGTTATATAAGCCTCAGTCAGACTGGAGTAAAAGACTCTCCCCTTACTGGATTTCAAAGTAGGCTACTGTGTTTTGAGAGGACCCATGGAGAAGGCCACATGGCAAAGAACTACAAGCAACCTAGGAGTGGAGGATGGTCCTCTACCAAAAGCCAACAACAACAACAAACAGGAACCTCTCAGTACTCCACCAAGAAGATGAATTCTGCCAGGAACTTGAATGAACTTGGAAACAAATTCTTCCCTAGTCAAACTTCCAGATGAGAACATAGCCCAGGCAGCACACTGACTGCAGCCTTGAAAGACCTTGAACAGAGAGAATCTAGTCACGCTGTAACCAGACTCCTGACCCACAGAAACTGATAATAAATGTGCTGCTTTAAGCCACTAACTTTGTGATAACATATAATGCTGCAATAGTTAACTAATACATTCTCTTTTCCTTTGCAGTCAAGGAAGACTACTTCACTACTAGAAGTGAAGATAGGCAAGATCAGTTTCTTATCATTTAATTATCACAGAGGAAAGTCTGTAAGATCCACTAAACTATTTTCAAATCCAAGTGCAACTCTGGCACTTTGCTACCCCTGAGGCAGAAGATGACCAGCCTCACAAGGACTGGGCCATTTTTCCTGGCTTGGTGGTAGTGCCCTGAAGGCTGTGAACATTTACCATAGCCCCAAAGACCTCCAACCCAGTCTTTTCCTTCTCTATCAATGAATTCTTCATCTACCCTTTCTGCATTGCCTCCCACTTACCAACTTAGCAACTTTCCCACAATAGGCCAGATCATTGGCTCTTTTGGTTCATCCCAATTCTCTGGCTTACTCTGACTTCTTGGCTAGGGAAGGATTTATATTCTAAAGCCAGGCACTTAGGTGTTATTACCAAAATGAAAGCAGAGTGTAGACCACTGTTTTCCCAAAGGAAAAATAAAATGGAATCTTTCTTGAAAAAAAAGTAGATAGACTTGTTTTCATCAGAAATACAAGCCTATCCACTGGAACATAGTTTACTCCTCACATCTCTAAGATCTGGGTATTGTAGATATGTAGGAAGAAGGTAGCTAGCCCAGGCTGGATGCATGAGACAAGTGCTCAGGGCTGGTGCACTGGGAAGACCCAGAGGAATCGGGTGGAGAGGGAGGTGGGAGGGGGGATCGGGATGGGGAATACTTGTAAATCCATGGCTGATTCATGTCAATGTATGACAAAAACTACTACAATATTGTAAAGTAATTAGCCTCCAACTAATAAAAATAAATGAAAAAAAAACATAAAAATGAAAACAAAAGGAAAAAAGAGAAAGAGAATGTTATTGAACATATTGAACAATGTTATTTATATAAAAATTTATGCAGTAAATGTGAAAAAAAATTAATATCTGATCTCACCTCGGCAGGCTTCTTGCGTTCATTTGGCATTTTTGACTTGCTCCTATACACTGAGCCGAAAGTAGAGGAAGTGGAAGGATCTGTAAAAGATAATTAGAAAAAATACTGAGACTTATTACCTGCTATTATAACTAAATGTCATCCAAGAGTATGTGAAATATATGATGGAGAAGAGCACAGTGACCTCATATCACTGAAGAAAATAGTTAAATTGCAACCACCAAAGCCTCATAAAGGAGTTTAATGACATTTATAGGTAACATCCCAGGGTGCAAAAGCTTCAACAATGCTAATACAGAGGAGATTCAATTTGGTATAATCATATTTCATTATAATTTAGAATAAGACAATTTATGTTCCATCTAGAGAAAAAGTATCTGCAAAAGCAACTGAAAAAACTAAAAATGTGGAGCAAGTAATCTGCCTATCCTTCAGCATTTTCCAAATGCTACTGTTAATAAAGTTGTTGTCTTTTATGAATTATGACTCATCCAAACACTTAGTACCTCAGCTAAAATAAAACTGTAGGGCCTACAATTTATGCTCTCACACTTTTCTTTCTAGAAAAGCACTGTTCCATTGGTAGATGTGGCTTTTGTTGCCCGGGTAAATAAAAAGTGCAAAACAAAATGCTATATGCCACACAAAACTAATTCTCTCATCTAACTTACCTATGTCTAATGGAATTTAAACAAGTAAGAAAAACAGTACCCCAAGTTTTCCTTCTTAGAAACATTATTTTTTAACCCATTGAAAGAAGCATGAAATAGCTTGTTCTCAAGTCAAAGAAACTCTCAAGGATTATAGATACAGAGTTACCAGCTGTTGGCTGGTTCTACTCACTGTCCTCTGAACTGTCACTGCTGCTGATATTTCTATGGCGTTTCATCCTGGAGCATCCTGGGAAAGAGAAGGCAACACTGAATAAATACTCAACGCACACATCCATCCCATAGGGCAGTCAACACTGCTCAAGAAGCAGCAGCAGGTGAATTACACAAATCAAATTATTTTTGTTAATAATATTCTCAAATTATCTAGAGTGGTGGGAGAAGAATTCTACCAAATTCTCTCTAATACATAGTGTGTCAAAGACTGGGCGAGGCCACATACTAGCTTTAGGAGGAAATCTAAGCTGCAGAGGATGAATGATATAGGACTGGCAAGAGCCTCAAATGTGGCCACATGACCACTATCCATCCAAACAAAGAGGGGCAGTCACAGGGTCATTATCAGTCAGGGATCCCCAATAAGAGATGAGCAAGAAAGAAAAAGCAGTTACAAAGGTAGAGCTGTCAAAGGCCAAGGCTGAAAGGCATGAGACAAGGCTGGCTGAAGAAAGAAGTGAGGCACGTCCCATCTTTGAAAGCACAGTTCAGTTCAGTTGCTCAGTCATGTCCGACTCTTTGTGACCCCAAGGACTGCAGCATGCCAGGCCTCCCTGTTCATCACCAACTCCCACAGTTTATGCAAACTCATGTCCATTGAGTCGGTGACGCCATCCAACCATCTCATACTCTGCTGTCCCCTTCTCGTCCCACCTTCAATCTTTCCCAGCATTTGGGCCTTTTCAAATGAGTTAGTTCTTTGCATCAGGTGGCCAAAGTACTGGAGCTACAGCTTCAGCATCAGTCCTTCCAATGAGTATTTAGGACTGATTTCCTTTATGATGGACTGGCTGGATCTCCTTGCAGTCCAAGGGACTCTCAAGAGTCTTCTCCAACACCACAGTTCAAAAGCATCAATTCTTCTCTGCTCAGCTTTCTTCATAGTCCAACTCTCACATCCATACATGATGACTGGAAAAAAAAAACTATAGCTTTGACTAGACGGACCTTTGTTGGCAAAGTACTGTCTCTGCTTTTTAATATGCTGTCTAGGTTGGTCATAGCTTTTCTTCCAAGGAGAAAGCATCTTTTACTTTCATGGCTGCAGTCACCATCTGCAGTGATTTTGGAGCCAAGTAAAATAAAGTCTGTCACAGTTTCCATTGTTTCCCCATCTATTTGCCATGAAGTGATGGAACCAGATGCCATGATCTTAGTTTTCTGAAAGTTGAATTTTAATCCAACTTTTCACTCTCCTCTTTCACTTTCATCAAGAGGTGCTTTAGTTCTTCTTCACTTTTTGCTGTAAGGGTGGTGTCATCTGCCTATCTGAGGTTACTGATATTTCTCCTGACAACCTGATTCCAGCTTGTGCTTCATCCAGCCCAGTGTTTCTCATGATGTACTCTGCATAAATTAAATAAACAGGGTGACAATATACAGCCTTAATGTACTCCTTTCCTGATTTAGAACCAGTCTGCTGTTCCATGTCCAGTTCCAACTGTTGTTTCCTGACCTGCATACAGATTTCTCAGGAGGCAGGTCAGGTGGTCTGGTATTCCCATCTCTTTAAGAATTTTCCAGAGTTTTTTGTGATCCACACAGTCAAAGGCTTTGGCATAATCAATAAAGCAGAAGTAGATGTCTTTCTGGAACGCTCTTGCTTTTTTGATGATCCAACGGATGTTGGCAATTTGACCTCTGGTTCCTCTGCCTTTTCTAAATCCAGCTTGAACATCTGGAAGTTTTCGATTCACGTACTGTTGAAGCCTGGCTTGGAGAATTTTGAGCATGACTTTGCTAGCATGCAAGATGAGTGCAACTGTGCAGTGGTTTGAGCATTCTTTGGCATTGCCTTTCTTTGGGATTGGAATGAAAACTGACCTTTTCCTGTCCTGTGGCCACTGCTGAGTTTTCCAAATTTGCTGGCTTATTGAGTGCAGCACTTTCCCCTTGTAGCTCAGTAGGTAAAGAATCTGCCTGCATTGCAGGAGACCCAGGTTCAATCCCTGGGTTGGGAAGATCCCCTGGAGAAGTAAATGGTGACTCACTCCAGTACCCTTGCCTGGAAGATCTCATGGACAGAGGAGCCTGGTGGGCTGCAGATGGGGTTGCAAAGAGTCGGGCATGACTGAGCAACTAACACTTACTTCCACAGCATCATCTTTTAGGATTTGAAATAGCTCAACTGGAATTCCATCACCTTCACTAGCTTTGCTCGTAGTGATGCATCCTAAGGCCCATTTGACTTTGCATTCCAGAATGTCTGGTTCTAGGTGAGTGATCACACCATCCTGATTATCTGGATCATGAAGATCTTTTTTCTATAGTTCTGTGTATTCTTGCCACCTCTTCTTAATATCTTCTGCTTCTGTTAGGTTCATACCATTTCTGTCCTTTATTGTGCCCATCTTTGCATGAAACATTCCCTTGGCATCTCTAATTTTCTTGAAGAGATCACTAGTCTTTCCCATTCTATTGTTTTCCTCTATTTCTTTGCATTAATCACTGAGGAAGGCTATCTTATCTCTCCTTGCTATTCTTTCGATCTCTGCATTCAAATGGGTATATATTTCCTTTTCTCCTTTGCCTTTTGCTTCTTTTCTCAGCTATTTGTAAAGTCTCCTCAGACAACCATTTTGCCTTTTTAAAATAACAGGGAAGCAACATAGCCCTGCCCATTAACAGAAAATTGGATTAAAGATTTACTGAGCCTGGCACCACCCATCAGAACAAGACCCAGTTTCCCCCTCAGTCAGTCTCTCCCATCAGGAAGCTTCCATAAGCCTCTTATCCTTCTCCATCAGAGGGTACAGACTGAAAGCCACAATCACAGAAAACTAACCAATCTGATTACATGGACCACAGCCTTGTCTAACTCAATGAAACTATGAGCCATGCCATGTAGGGCCACCCAAGACAGACGGGTCATGGTAGAGAGTTCTGACAAAACGTGGTCCACTGGAGAAGGGAATGGCAAACCACTTCAGTATTATTGCCTTGAGAACCTCATGAACAGTATGAAAAGGCAAAAAGATAGGACACTGAAAGATGAACTCCCCAGGTTGGTAGGTGCCCAACATGCTACTGGAGATCAGTGGAGAAATAACTCCAGAAACAATGAAGAGACAAAGCCAAAGCAAAACCAACACACAGTTGTGGATGTAACTGGTGATAGAAGCAAGGTCTGATGCTGTCAAGAGCAATATTGCATAGGAACCTGGAACGTCAGGTCCATGAATCAATGCAAATTGCAAATGGTCAAACAGGAGATGGCAAGAGTGAATGGTGACATTTTAGGAATCAACGAACTAAAATGGACTGGAGTGGGTGAATTTAACTCAGATGACCATTATATCTACTACCATGGGCAAAACTCCCTTAGAAGAAATGGAGTAGTTATCATAGTCAACAAAAGAGTCTGAAATGCAGTACTTGGATGCAATCTCAAAAATGACAGAATGATCTGTTTCCAAGGCAAACCATTCAATATCACAGTAATCCAAGTCTATGCCCTGACCAGTAATGCTAAAGAAGCTGAGGTTGAATGGTTCTATGAAGACCTACAAGACCTTCTAGAACTAACACCCAGAAAAGATGTCCTTTTCATTATAGGGGACTGGAATGCAAAAGTAGGAAGCCAAGAAATACCTGGAGTAACAGGCAAGTTTGGCCTTGGAGTACAGAATGAAGCAGGGCAAAGGCTAATACAGTTTTGCCAAGAGAACACACTGGTCATAGCAAACACCCTCTTCCAACAACCCAAGAGACAACTTTATATATGGACATCACCAGATGGTCAATACGGAAATCAGATTGATTATATTCTTTGCAGCCAAAGATGGAGAAGCTCTATACAGTCAGCAAAAACAAGACCAGGAGCTGACTGTGGTTCAGATCATGAACTCCTTATTGCCAAATTCAGACTTAAGTTGAAGAAAATAGGGAAAACCACTAGACCATTCAGGTATGACCTAAAACAAATCCCTTATGATTATACAGTGGAAGTGACAAATAGATTCAAGGGATTAGATCTGATAAGAGTGCCTGAAGAACTATGGATGGAGGTTCGTGACATTGTACAGGAGGCAGTGATCAAGACCATCCCCAAGAAAAAGAAGTGCAAAAGGAAAAATGGTTGAAAGCACAACCCACTGCTTTTCTGCCTGCCCTTTTCCCCCCTTTTGCACTTTCTCCCTGACAAACTTTCTCCCAACTGACAAACAACTAGCCTAACTTAAAGTCACATCTATCGAAAGGAATGCTAAAAAAAAAGGAAAGTGTTAATTACTCAGTTGTGTTCAACTCTTTGTAACCCCATGGACTGTAGCTCGTCAGGCTCCTCTGTCCATGGGATTCTCCAGGCAAGAATACTGGATTGGATTGCCATCCTTTTCCAGAGGATCTTCCCAACCCAGGGATCAAACCCAGGTATCCTGCATTGCAGGTAGATTCTTTACTTTCTGAGCCACCGGGGAAGCCCAGACAAATGAAACCCAGCATTTCAGTGCCGAGGAATGTTACAGAAAGCTCCTATATTGGGAAAACTAATGTCTTTAAATAAAATTTCCAGTGGTTTAAGCATCCTTGTGTGTGTGTGTGTGTGTGTGTGTGTGTGTGTGTGTGAGTGACAGTGAGTGAGAGAGAGAGAGAGAGAGAGAGAGAGAGTGAGAGTGAGAGACTACACACACTTTCAGGCAAATGGGGAGAGTAAATCGACTTCTGTAAAATAATGCAGCCAGTCACCAAAAGAGTAAATAGGCAAATAATAAAGAACCCTGGGGGCGGGTGGCAGGGTGCTGGTACTGAAATGTTATATTATCTAAAACATCCAGTTTTCAGCAAAAAATTATGAGACATGCATGGGGACTGAATTCATACCCTAGTAGTGAAACTGCCAAGTCCTAACCCCTGGACCACCAGGGAATTCCCAAATATGGTACTTTCTAAATTAATACAGTAACAATCCTTTTTTGTTATAGATGGAAACCAAAAAATCTTGTATTATCAATAGAGAGCCTAGGAAACAGATTAACACCAATAACACCAGTCCTGGAAACTGGGCTGCTTATAACTTAAAGAAAACAAAGCAAGCAAATTTGGGGGTCTGGGCTGTTAAAGTCCACTGGTCTATTTCAGTGATCACTGCTGTTTTAATTACTATAGAAAAATGACAAAGAGCAGTAAATATCAGCAGAATAATTCCATGACAATAAACCTTTAGATCTGTCTTTATTACTTTTAGTCGTTTATAGAACAACAGCAGTTCTATAAATATCATTACCACCATTTTACAGATGAGGAAATTGGGGCTCAAAGTCAAAGTGTTAGTCACTCAGTCATGTCTGACTCTTTGCAACCCCATGGATGGAGGCCTACCAGGTTCCTCTGTCCATGGAATTTCCCAGGTAAGAATACTGGAGGGGGTTGCCATTCCCTTCTCCAGGAGATCTTCCTGATCCAGGGATTGAACCTGCTCTCCAGCATTGAAGGCAGATTCTTTACTGCCTGAGCCACCAGAAATGTTTAAATAACATGTTTGGAGCTACATTGCCACCAGAGGGCAGAGCACAGCAGGCAGGTATATGGAGAATGGACACTCCAAATTGACCCTGAGACCTGAGGCAGGCTAGGGAGTTAACAGCAGGAATGCTGCCCCTTCTAAGCCCAAGCTTCCTGAGCATGGCCTTCAAGGTTCACAGCATTCCAGCTTCAATTTGTCAGATCTCATCAGCTGCTGCTCCTCTACCTCCTGCACATGCTATGGCCCATGTGATTCCATGAATGTATCATCTTGTTTCATACTTGCCAGCCTTTGGACAGGGCTCTTCCCTCTGCCTACAGTACCCTGCCTATTTACCTGGACCATCCCATTTTCTCTCAACCTGGCCTGACTCATTTGTTGGATCTCCTCAGTGATGTTCTCTCTATATTATACATGTAAAATGCTCTTCATTTGCACTGTAAATATTCTTTACATGGTCAGCCCTGCCATAAGACCACAACCATCTTCAAAGCAGTAACTATGTAAAATTCATCTTTTACCCCCAGGTCTCAGCACAGTGTCCTGCACAATGTAAACATGAGAAAGAGTAAAAGATGCCCCACCCAGATCTCCTTTACTAGCTAGCAAACCCATCTCCCAGCTACTGCCTGTTGGCTGCTAATGGCTCACAGCTGTCCCCTTCCCCAAGGGCTGGAGTCTTGCCAGGGAGATTATACTCAGTTTCCCTCCCAGGGGCAGCCAGCAGCCAATAATTGCTCTACACCTGCCTTTAACCATAACTGGCTAAGGCTAGACTTTCCTAAGACCATATCTTCACTTTAGCTCCTTCCTCTTCCCTACCTTCTTGTCCTTGCTCCCTTATAAGTTTCTCCTGAGAGCACTCCCTCAACAAATCATGTACATTCAAATACAGTCTCAGTTTCTGCTTCCGGCCATCCCTAAAACAACATGTGAAACTTCACTTGGAGGCACACTTTAAAAAGTACCTTAGAATAAAATTTCTTGCTAAGCAAAACCATAAGTAAGTACAGTGCAAAGCACCTCACTGTCTTAACATCTGTATACGCTATTCAGTTGTTTATATTCTAGTCTTCTATGCAGGGTGCAGACTTTACAAAGGCATTATTTTCTTCCTTACCTCCCACAATGAGTATTCCTTTGTTTTGGCAGAAATGAAATATGTACCAGCCCTCACCTTGCACCCTTGAGAACAGTAATTTGAAGGCAGTTTTCAGATCTTATTCCTACTATAATCTCACTCAAAATGATTAACAGGATTCTGATTTATCTTAAGTGCTGTAAGCCATGCAAAATACAATTGTATAAAGTAAATGCCTTTCTTGGGTGAAACTCCTTCTTAAAGGAGCATTGTCAGAAGTCAACCCAACTAGGATTATTTGGGGCCGAGAATCTAAATCTGTGGTTTGGTGGCTACCTGATTCCCCATTAATGTTCCACAGAAGAGCAGGGGGCAGGAAAAGTGATTAACTCAAACATAGCCCTTTCCTTTCCTTCTATATGCCCACCAGACATACTTATGAAATGTGTGGTCAGTGCAAAGAGCCACAATTGAGTGCCATCTGTGGGGCTATGCAGCAGCTTAAAAATAATCTGAGGCTCCACTTTAAACATATCCACACCCTTTGATCCAGGAATTCTACTTCCAACATCTATGTCTGAAAAATAATCCAAAACACAGAAAATGATTTATGAACAAAATGTTCATTAAAGCTCCCTAATAAAAATAAATGGAATCTAGCTATCAAACAAGAGGAATAAAGTATATTAATATTATGGTATTTCATTCAATTATTTAAACATGATATACAGAAAATGTGTATGTTAAAACGTTAAGTGGAAAAAACAGTATAAAATTAGTTTTATAGCAAGATTGCATCTATGAAATAAAATATATAGAAAATAATGAAGGCCATAAACCAATTTACTGACATTAGTTGCATCAATAACACTGAAGTTTTCTGAGTGACAAACATTCTTTCCAATTTTTTCCATTCTCTACATTTTTTACAGTACACACAGGACATTTATAACTAGAAAAAACTTCTAAGATTTCAAGGTATTTGTTCCCCATGTCACTCACAAATGATGCAGCTGACCTGAAAAACTGAAACTATGAAAGTGATTGTCACTGTTGTTCAAGATGGACATCAAGCAGAGCAGAAAAGCACAATATAATCAATTGTATATAGAAACCTCCATATTTATAAAGTTAGTCCCCAAAGCACCAAACCTTACAGTTCAGAAAAGACAAAGACAAATATCTAAAGCAGTGGTTTCCAACCGAAGGCAATTTTGTTCCCTGGGGACAATGTGGCAATATCTAGAAACATCTTTGGTTGTCGCAACTGGCAAGGGGCGTTGCTACTGACATTTAGGGGATAGACACCAAGGGGGCTGCTACATATCCTGCAATACACATATTTATCTGGTCCGAAATGTCAATACTGCCAAGGCTGAGAAATCTTGCTCTACAGGAATGAAACAGATGGATAAGTATCAAGAAGAGTGTGGAAACTGTTGACTTTATTCACCCAATCACAAAGTTAAAGTAACAAAGGGGCACTCCCTGTAACCTAAAGGCAATTTTATCAAAAAGAAAGCAGGACTTTGAGCAATGCTTAGGGAACTTAGAGAACTCATCAACTCAAGAAGTGGAACAGAATGAAAATGTAAACAGGTTCAAGAAGGACTGAGATAAAAATCAAGGAAGATAAATTCATGATGGTATTTGGAAGTAATCCTTAAGTAAAAAGAGCATCTGAAAGTACAGCTCCCTTAGACTTTCAGGAATACCCTTCAGAGCCATTAATGGAGAGAGATGTTTGAGTTAGGCCACTAGTCAGACCACAGTAGAACACTTCTTTCATCCTTAAGGATCAATTCCTGCCCATGTGGGCAAAGAACCTCCCAAACTATTCCTTAAACAGAAGTCATAAATATTATAAATGTATTTCTTGAGTAGTCCAGTAACTAAAACCATAAATACTGAACAGAGTAAACAAAAAATAATCAGAAGAAAAAGAACATATCCTACATATTTCACTGCTTCTCTTTTGTCTTTAAAAAAGATACCAGAAGTTGAAGTAGGTGAACTTTTCTGTACTTTCTAAAAATAAGCCTGCCTTCATCTCAGTCATCTTAAAGCTTGTTTTTAAAAATTAAAAGACACATCGTGTGACTCATGAGTCCCCTGTGATCAGATGAGTAGTCTGGAGGTCAACTCTTCCAAAGCTCTCAAAAACCATTAAAGAAAAAAGAAGAAAATACAAATTTACCTAGATAGGTACCTGCCACTCAGTAAAGTACTTCTATGTCAACCACAGTTATCCCTGTTGCCAGGAAACAGGCTTACCCTCTTTAATGTTAATAGACATGTTAACAAATTTCGAACCTCCTGGGTAGAAATCATCTTGCATGGGAAGGCCACATTGGGAAGGGAGTTTAAATCAGGGTCCACAATTTTTTTTTTTTTAAAAAGAACCAGATAGCAAATATGTTTGGCTTTGTAGGCCACATGGTCTCTGTGGCAATTACTCAAATCTGCTATTGTAGTATGAAAGCAACCAAAGACAGTATATAAACAAATGATCGTGGCTCTGTTTGAATAAAACTTTATCATACTAAAATTCAAATTTCACATAATTTTCACATACAATGAAATATTATTCATTTTTAAAATTCACTGAACATTTCACTAAACATATAACTAAAAATGTTAAAACCCATTCTTAGCTCCCAGGCCATACAGAAACAGGTGGCAGGTTAGATTTGGCTCACAGGTCACACCTTGTCAACCTCTGATCTAAACTACAAGAAACTTTTCTTTTAATGATAGAATATTAAAAATTGGAAGCATACAACTGAATTATCACTATCCTAAAAACACTCCCTCCTTCCCAATCTCTCAGTCCACTGGTTAATATAGACCTCACTGGAAGGTTTTTAGCTTGGGTGGCCTATTCTAATGGTCCTAGACCCTTTCTAAATTAAAATGTTTTGTGTCTTTTAAGCAAAAAAGGCCTTAGTTCTAATAACTTTTTAAAAATTAGTAGTACATTTTCTTTCTTTTCTTTCTTTTTTGACCACACCTCATGGCTTGCAAGATCTTAGTTCCCTGGCCAGGGACTGAACCTGGGTCATGGTAGTGACAGTGCAGAATCCTAACCACTGGACCACCAGGGAATTCCCCATATTTTCTTTTTAATTTATAACATATATTCAACAATTTCAACTACCCAGATAAATAAGTAGGTTTGGCATCTTAAGAATAAGGAGATATATGTACAAAACATAAATCCTTTTAAGATAAAATACCATTTGCAAATAAGACCTCTTAAGAATTAAGTAAATCAACAACAGCTTTTACTATGAAATACATAATTCTTTCTCTAGACAGAAACTCAAAACAACTTTAAAAAATAATGATTTCCATTATGTCTTATCTCCTGCTGTGGGTTGCTTCCACATTTAAATTTAGTCACGTGTACCCCTAATACATTTACAATAACATCTACCTGATTTAAAATGATCATCAGAATTTATTAGGAGGAAAAATACCTTTATCCCAGATTTTAGAAAGAATACCAGGTCTCACATGTAAGGTCAAACAAATAAACAACCCCAAACTTACTGAGCAAGAGCAAATCCACTGCACATCAACTGTTAGTACTGTATTAATAGAGGGCAGGCACTGCACTGGCCACCAGAATGGAAAAACCAAGTCTTTTGGCTCCCTCAGAGACAGGTCACAAGACCAGGTGTGCTAGACACACTGTTACTATGGCTTGGGTGATCACAGCCTAAAGCTAGTGACCAATGATGTATGACAAACCAATCAGAAGGGGCTTTTGGGGTTAATCCCAAATCAATCAAGGTGGTGTGGGTGTGAAGTGGAGGGGGGTTACAGTTAAACGTTCACCTCTGATCAGAGATATACTAAAGGCCAAAGAGTAGTCAGACAGGGAAGTTAACATACAAGGGAAAGGATCAGCACTGACATTGAGGACAACAAAAAATGAGAAAATGAAACAGCTACAAATTTTTCTCAGGAGAAATGAAAAGTGGCTGGGCCATAGATGCCAACACGGGTTAAACCCTGAGAAAATTATCTGGCCTCCCCAGCAGAGATTCTCAATCCCTATTAAACATTTTCTGGGATTAAAAATCATCTGGGGAGATTGTAAAAATTCCACTGCCCAAACTGCACCCATTACCAATTTTCAAACAGCCAACTTTTGGATTCATTGTTGTTCTCTGTTGTTTTTGTTTTCAATTATATTAACTATTCTTTATTATTTCCTTCCTCCAGCTTACTCTCGGTTTATTTTGCTCTTCTTTTTTCTATTTTCTCAAGGTGGAAGCTTATTCATTTGTGACTTTTCATCTACTCCTCATATAAGCACTTAGTGCTATGAATTTCCCACTCAGCATTGATTTTGTTACAAGCTACAAGTTTTTATATGCGGCATTTTCATTTTCACTCAGGTCAATGCATTTTATTTCCCTTGGAGACTTCCTCCTCGACCCATGGATTAATAAGTGTGTTGTTTAGTTTCCAAGTGTTTGAAGACTTTCATGTAGTCTGTTTTTCATTTCTAGTGTGATTCCATTATGGTCAGATAATATACTCTGTATGATTTTAATTCTTTCATATTTGTTGGTTTTGTTTTTTTTTCATGACCTGGGATATAGCCTATCTTGGTGAATATTACATGTGCACTTGAAAAGTAAGTATATAATACTACTGAAGTTCCCAACTATAACTGTGGATTTATATCTATTAATATTTCTCAGTTATCTAGAGTTTTGCTTCATGTACTTTGAACTTCTGTTGTTTGGTGCATACACATTTAAGATTGTCCTGTCTTCTGGGTAGATTGACCCTCTGAATCATTATGTGGTGCACCTTTTGTTTTTTGTAATAATTTTTGCTCTGATGTCTAATTTATCTGATATTAGTATAGCCACCCCAGCTTTCTTTTGATTGGCATGTCCATGGTATGTCTTTTTCCACCCATTTACTTTCAAACTACCTGTATTGTTGCATTTAGTTCGAATAGTGTGAAATGTGTCTATTCCATTTTGTTTGGAACAGGAAATTTGTTCTCTATATTATTTCTGCAATTCCTCTCTAAATTTAGACATATTATCTCAAAATCTCTTATTTCAAAATAAAAAATGTGACTGTTAAAAATGTAAGTATACAATTAAAGGGGCATTTTATTCATGTCCCTAACATGATGGGAGAGTATTAAGAAAGCAAAATCAACCTGAGAGATTTTCACTTACTGCACTCTCTCAGAACAAGGAAACAAAGAAACAGGTAAAACTTATAGGCCTAGAAGTAACTGGGAGGCCGATCCCCTATCTGAGGGCCATAAGAAGGAAAGTCAGTTGGTAACACGGATGCATCTATTTTTCCTTAAAAGATAAATAGCCACCACACCTGGTGTTTATTCTTGGATCAGGGGAGTTGTTTTTTTCCCCAATACTTGCATTTTCCAGTTTCTCTGTATGGATTTGTTGTTTTACTACATATTAACGTTTTCAAACGGTTAACAAAATTTAAAGTGTACAACTTGAGAAGGAATAAAAATCTAAGTAATTAGTTATACCACTTGTTAGTTCTGTAAAAGAAGTGAGTGAGAAAGCTGGAAAGTACTGACTAAAATGTGGCTTTCTGAGAATTAGTTGAGTTCAGTAATTTATGCCGTTCATGCTTCAGTACCCCAGGAAGCCAGATTTGGATACAGATAAGTAGTCATTTGAGACTAACAGCAAAATTTACCCCTGAACTGTTTTAAACATGACCCAAAAGAACCACTAAAAAGATCTAAGACGAGGACTAGACAGCATAGATTGAAACTATCTGCTCTTGGCCCTTAAAAAAATAAAAAAACAAACACCTCTATGTAAACTAAAAGCATCCATATAGGAATACGAAACACAGAAAGAGAAAAGGAAACAGGTTTTTCTTCTCTATCCATCTCAGTGCAATTTTAATTATTATAAGGAACAGTGTTTTACAAAAACGATGGACAAATAAAAAAACTCTCAAAAATCTGAAATAAAGGCTTTGCTGTTGTGTGTAGAAAATGACTACTTTGTCAAAAATACCTGTGATCTCAGACCATGATTGACTGTCATAG